CACACACACACACACACACACACACACACACACACATGCATCCATCCTTGCATCCATGCATTTATCCATCTATTAATTTTTTCTACCACTGAATTTGTTTCTTCTACAGAATATTAAAAATAACCATAAACTTAATCAAAATCAGAGTTAGAACCTAATTTTAAAAGTAATTTGATTTCATCCATCCATGCATCTATCCATCCATCCATCCATCCATCCATGTGTGGCAGGGTGAGCGTCCTGTCATTGTATCCCTATTGATCATGCTCCCTGGCTACTTGGCTACAGGGATATCCCTTTGGATGACTGATTTGCACGCACGACTCTCACCTGTCTGGGGATTGAATCCCGCCCGTTCTCTCCTTTCTCCACATTGCAACACATTCATCCATGTATTTATCCATCCATTCATTTTTCCACCACTGATCCAATGCAGAGCCACACAGGTAAAAGACACTTCTGTATCCTCCAATGACAGCTACCAAGTTTTTCATGGGCAAGTTGTTCTCAGATCAGAGTATAAATAATAACTCCAGCGAGAGTTGGGTTTGACCACCCAGTGGAGCTTACCCAGGATGCATGAGGGGGCAACAAGGATGCAACCAAATCAGGTGTCTGAACCATTTCTGCTGACTCCCACTTGATTAGGAGGAACAGCTTTACTCTGGGGAAATCCTTCTATCCTCCTCCTTCTATTGCTTCTGAAGAAGATATTTCCACTTCTTTCAGATGTTGTTTTACACTCCATTATAAACAGTTTTCTCTGAAGAAAACCTAACCCTCCACATCATCATCACTTATTTTTTCTAAAACTACTCACTGGCACATCAACAGATGCTACCCTTTTAAAAATGGAGGCAAATTGCACATGGCTTCAGCTAGAGTGGCACTGCAGTAAAGGCACACCCTTTCTAACCACACACGAGAAATGTGCGAGTGTGCTGTAACTCAGCAGGGGTAGTGAAAAGTAACAGCACACACACTGCTGATGGCACTGCAGATTTTTAACTACGAGTTAGGAGCCGAGTGTTTACACTCTAATGAAATACCTCCCAGTGGGTGCTCTGCACATGCACACGGCAGGGCTGAGCAACAGATACTAACTGTGGGGCACCATGAGGGAAAGGTCATCTGACATCATTTGCATTGCCTGTTAATATTGAATAATGTTTCCGTGCGTGGAAGGTCAAGTTTTGCATGGGTACAAGATATAAACTGAACCTGTGATGCAGCTGAAGTGATGGAACAAGTGTTCATGCTTGGTTGATGTGAGTTTTCCATCCTTCCTTTGATCTGACATGTTTAAGGGAAACCACCGGCACTATCTCACACACACATCAATAAAGACACTTCATTCACTCACTCTGGCCCACACACACACACACCCACTGTGTTTTACTCTGAATAAAAAGCGTAGGCGATGTGTGGATTAGCATCTTCTGTCTTGGTGGACACAATAGTAATACTGCACCTGTCAAATCATCATCGTCACTGCAGCAGAAACCATTTCCTACTCAGACACGCTTGACGTGGGGAACCTTTTCTCTAGAGAGGTCACAAAATGTCTCAGGTGAAAATATCAATGAGACATGAAACGTTGCTTTTTGATATCACCCTCCATACACTTGTCCTTATGGAGCAAATCTGGCATTTACCTCTTAACTTTGATCTATTTTAAATATTATGAAAAGATTTCTCAGAAATCTGCACCTAGTGGGTGTCTTTTTTCATTCTTTAAAGGTGCAGTATGTAAGAATGTAGCAAGAATTTTACAGAGAAAATCCCAGAAGAGTCTAATGTTTCAGTCATTTTGAAAGGAAGTTTATACTGAAACATTTTTCATATCGTGTCTCCTAATACTGCAGCACCCACAATTATAATTTGACAAAAAGCTCCAGAGTTGTTTGAAGTTTTGTCAGTAACCACATTTTACCACAGGAAGTCATTTTTACTTCACTCCTGCATAATGCACCTTTAACATTGTTAATTTTTGGCATCTTAGTGTCTTTGACTTTTTTGTCACTGATATGTAAAAAACATGTTCACTATACCGCCATCGCAGATACCTACTGATCAAACATCAGTGTAGTTTACCCAGAGAGAGTGATGTCCATAGCTTGAGAATAATTTTTCAGACAAGCTAGGGTCCAAATGTTTGCTTTTTACTTGCTGTTTTTTATTTGCATGGGGTTGATGAGTCCAAATAAAATTATGCATGTGAATTTGTTCCTAGTTTTGTTAAAGTCAAGTGTTTAGTGTGGCGAGATTTGGATCATGATCCTGGATTCAAGTGGCTGAAATATGGTGAGGTGTTCTATCATCTATCCATGGGAGGGAGTCCACTGCTCCGCCACTTTGAAAGGATTCAGGTTATTCAGGCTGAGTCATGATAGCACCCTTCTGGATGTTTTCCAAGCTTGTCCCAAGAAAGAGACCTCAGGGCAGCCTGCTTGGAGAGATTATACGTCCCTGGTCCGGAAATGCCCCGGGACCCCCCACCCCAGGAGGAGCACACTGCTGGGGAAAGAGATGTCTGGGTTTTCCACCTGGAAACCTTGGCTAAGCAAAGGACATAGATAAATTAGCTTGTTTTAAATAATACAGTTCATATAGTGAGAAACTTTTTCCTCTCTAAAAGTCTCAACTTATAATGATGGAACCAAAAGGATGTTTCTATGTTAATGTTTCCAGATAATTGCTTTTTTCTGTCACAATTCAGGATCTTAGGATTGAACTGGTTTCTTTGCAAAAAGTGGAGGTCCTGGTGTGCGTGGCTCACTGTTCTGAATTCTAGAAGAGAACTGTGAAATTATTCATTATTGGCTTTTTATAAATCATGTGTGCTTTGGCACGTTACTGATTGCATCTATGCTTTATCATTTATTAAAGCCAGAATACCCTTTTTATTTGTTTAAAAAATGTTGCAATCAAAATTTCCATGATATATTCTGATCATTATATTTATTTGGGTTCCTCCTCGTTGCCATAATATTCAGTCCTGCGTGCAGAAATGCATCTGGTCCTGCAGGATGAAAGCGCACCACACCTTTTCTAAATTCAACAGAGTCCCTTGGATGTTTCTTTTCCTATTTGCATCACATTCAAGGGCGTCAGTTTGTTTCCAGAATTGCTGGGGACAATAACCATACACTTGAGTGGGGTTTAAAAATTGCTGGGGACAATAAAGTAGGCTAGCACAGGGGTCGGCGGCTCTGGAGCCGCATGCGGCTCTTCCATCCATCTGATGCGGCTCTGTGTTTGTAAAATAATGAATGGATATTTAAATAAAATGCTTTATATTTTACTGCATTAATTTTACATCTGTATGCCAATTCTAAATGTAAAGATTGTCTGCGTAAACCTGAACAGGTCCAACCTGGTCTTACTGTGAGACCGGGTTGACGCGTCACGCTTGTGCGTAATCATAGGCGCTTTATTAGCTGAAGACGATGTGAGATTCTGAGATTCTCCTCAGAGGGCTCCTGGATGTGTCGCCACATTGGAGACGGGAACAAGCACTATTCAGCCAAAGTTTCATCATCAGGGAACATTTTCTAAGTGACAAGTCTCTCTGAGAGACAGGGTTTGGAAAACACTCGCTTCAGTGGGAGGAACCTTCCCACATGCGCTCTGGGTGGCTCTGGGGTTAATCAAGTTTAATTGTTTCTCTTTGCAACAATCTTCACAAGAAGGCAAAACAGTTAAACGGCAGGTTACATATATTTCCATTTGACTGTTTATTTTGACAGATGAACTCAAGGATGTTGCTTGGTTTGAAAGAATTACCCCCACGCACACTGATGCACATGGATGAGCTGACATTTTAATCGTTAACGCACATCGCGGAGGTAAAAGATTCCCATCAGAACATCAGAGCTTTATACTGGACACTGTGTTCAGCGCGGCTCGGAGCGCCCACGGTGGACAGTGAGCTGAAGATCTGAGGGGTTCGCAGCGCAGCGCAGAACCATGGTGCATGCAATGATTTCCTCCCACTGAAGCGGTCTGGAAACCCGGTCTCTCTGAGGGATGTGTCACTTGGAAAAATGTTCTTTTTATGAAATTATGAAACTGGCTGAACAGCGCTTGTTCCCGTCTCTAATATGGAGACGCATGATGTAGAGACATTTGATCATGCACAAAGTTCGTGTGGAGCAGAAGCGGTCGGGCCACGGCAGGTGAAATGTTCCTAGCCTACATGAAGGGAAACTGTTTAATTGTAACATTAATACGTTACTGGACACGCTGGTCTGGTTGGTTAGACCAGTGTTTGAAGTGGAAAACACACACACACACACCAATTAAAATATATGCTGATAGCGTGGACTAGAAGACAGGTGATGGTTTACGTATTTAAATGATGATCAGGCTGCTGTAAAATGTAATCTCCATCCACATCCAGACAGAATCATCCTCTATTCTGTCTCTATTTGCTCTGCTCTTTTCTGGGCTGATCAGCTGATGGTGTGCCTAACTAGCGGCTGATGCACATTTTACGCATTTGGAGAGGTGGGCTGGATGCTGTGCGTTTACTGGAAGATGGTTAACGCACGGGTGTAGACTACATATTAATGACAAATGAATGAAAATTAAATTGTGAGTTTTTACTTCATATTTTATAAATAAAAATGACGGGGGAAAACATTTATGACATCTTTTTAAACTAAATTTTCTAGCGCGACCTGCCTGCTTCACTTAAGTCACTGCTTATTAAGGTCCGTCCAGAATTACTGTGGGAAACGGGTAATAATGGCTCTTTGATGGGAATAGGTTGCCGACCCCTGGATAAGATCTGAGCTGGTAAAACAAAAATCCTCATCAGCAGGCGTTTTTGAAAGTGGGGGGGACACAGCTGCCAATCACAAATTTTGCCGGGGACATGTCCCCGGCGTCCCCGGTTAAAATGACGCCTATGATCACATTAAAACGACACAGTGAGCTGTCCCTCTGGAGAAAACGCTGCTGAAGACAGGAGGAGGGAGGAGGGGGTGCGTGCTGTGCGTGTTATCAGCCAGAGGGAGGCGATGTCGCTCCTCCTCTGCTCCCCTCTGCTCTCGTCTCCTGTCCGCTGATCGGCTCAGCTTGGCCAGAGCTTGCAGTCTGCTGGGTGAGATCATTACTAGACTCCAGGCTCCGGGACCTGATATTCGCCGGTTGGAAAAGAGAAAGAGAGGGAGGCACACACAGTGAAAAGCTTGATCCGGTGCAGCCAGCGACCTAAACGCGAGCTGAAACGCCGTCTCCAGGCTCCGTTGCTCTTTTCTACACTGACGAGCTGCTGAACGCTTCTTGTCGCAGATTTTTTTCTTCTCCTGCTTTCACCGCTGGATTTTTTTCCTAGGGGGTGTTTGTTGTAGTCGGATGCGGGCTGCTCTTGTTGTGACTGCAGTAACAGTGCCGCTTCCCCCTCCTCCCCACCTTCTTGCAGCCGAGTAGCGGGTTTGTGAGGGATCTCCGCGCCGCGCAGCTTCCCGAACGGTCCCGCAAGGCTCCGGACGCGCACCCCGCACCGCTGCGGCTCCTCTGCGCTCTATCCGCAGGGGCCTCTCTCTGGGGCTCCCGTTCCTCCGATCACCTGGACACAAGTTTCCTCTTGGATTCTTTTTTTTTTTTTGTGCGACCACCTTCTGTCATCCAATCGACAGCGAATCCTATTTTGTTCCATCCGTTGACGCCATTTTCCCCGGGGTTTTCTGTCAGGAAAAAAAAACAAGCCTCCATATATTCTGGCACCGTTTGACAGCTCCCCGGGAGGCTGTCATCCCATCCCGTCGCTTGTGTAAAATGTGTCTTGGCTAAATGGATTGTAAATGATCTTGATAAAATATTCACACGCTAGAGCCGACTGTGTGACAACATTAGACATGGGTAAGTAGTCCCGGTTGACTGGGCACATTCCACACCTGAACACACCTCTTCTCCATGTTTTCATGTGTGTGTGTGCACATTTAGACCTTTACTTGTCTGACTCTGTTGACCACCCAGACCAGTAGATATAGTTCCATTTTTGTCTGCATGGATCAAACATGAGAGGTGGTTGGTAGTCACATGGCATCAAAACACCCATCACCCATGGCTGTGCGCACCAGGCTGATCCAAGACCAGCGCTTAGCGCTTGGATCAGACTGCTTCTCATGGAGATGGTCTTTCTTCATCCTCACTGACTTTATTGATAATGCACCTCAGATCATGGGATCTAAACAAATGGGATTTTCTTTTTACTGCTTTTGGTTTTATTGCTTTTCTGGTCCATAAAATTCCAAATGCAGAAGTTTATATTTGATGTGTTTTGCATACATTTCAATTTTGCTATCCACAGATCCTTGTTTTGGCACAGATGTGTCAAACTGGGATCCAGCTTTAATGTGGGTTTATAAGTGATCATTTTCACACAGGTGTCAGAACGTCAGGTTGAATCAAGTGGACCGTGAGTATGCAGAAGTAATCAGCAGCTTTAAACTTCATGCAACACAACAGCTCCATGCTGATAAAACGTGTAGAAATGAGAATCAGATCCCTCACTTATGTGGGAGTGAAGTTGTGGAAATGAGCTCGGTGTGATAAAAGGGCCTGAGATGAAGAACAGAGGCAGCTGGAAATAAGAGGTGTGTGATCAGGTGGAGGGGAAACAAGGAAAAAAAGCAGGTGAGGATGAAGGATGGATAATGGAGGCGATGCATCGATCTTGTCTTGTTAGCAGTTCCAGCTCCCTTCAAACCTGGCAGTGATTTTTTTAGGTGGTATTAAAAATACAAGTTGGCTGTTGTAACTCCCTATTAGGTAACAAGATGCTTGTGCCACCTTTAAATTAAAGCATGAGAAATCGATTAGGTGTATCCCCTTCTGAGCTGGATACCTTGGGTCGAAATAGGATCACAGAGAGAGAGATGGGGGGAGAGGGGGGAGAGAACAGGATCCAAGGACAAATCTAACTGTTGGCAGTCTCTGTTAACAGAATATCAGCACTGGAGCACCTTTTGGCAGAGCACACAGAAAGAGGAGGGAGGGTAAAGGAAAGCAGTACAGAGAAGAAGGGAGAGAACAGAGGTTGGGGGGGGGGGGGTGAGGTGAGGGGAAGGAGGAAGACAGTTGGGGAGTAGGGGAGGTGTTTTTGCTGACAGCCATTTTGTGGCTTCTGCTGCAGTTAAAATGGTTTAACATTCATCTGTTTGTGCGGGGTAGTTAGGTGTGGATGGGTTTAGTGCTACCTGGCATATGGCTCACCCAGAACGTGTGTGTGTGTGTGTGTGTGCACACACGCGCGTGTTCATGTGTGCATGCAGCAGCTTTAAGGCCATCATTTTCAATTATGGCTGCCCCTACACATGGTGTTTTATGATTGTCCTTCTAGCTGCCTGCTTGTGCCGTCCACACTGAGCCATGGAGATAAAGGGACGTTAGTCTCCACGTCCTATCTCCACATGAATAATCACTTTTATGGCTTTCTTCACCTTGTCGTGCTCCGAGACAGAGGACTGACTCTCTCTAGGCTCAGCCCATTCCTTTGCATCCAGTCTTTCCTGAAACAGTGGTTTGTGTGAATCCTCTTAAATGAAAAAAAGGAGGCAAAAAATGACAAATGAAGAAGGTAATTTGCAGACGATCTCATTAAGATAAGCATCTGTAGCCAGACATTAAAACATCTTTTACCCCTTTAAACCAAACAGCCATTTGCAGCACTCCTGAATCTGTAAATGTGTGCATGCATCTGCCTCTGTGTGTGTGTGTGTGTGTGTGTGTGAGAGAGAGAGCTATTTGTGAGTCCACCTCAGGCACTGAGCTGCTGGGTATGCAGCCTTAAAAGGTTGCGTTTCTGCTGCCATCCTTCCCTCCTCCTGTCTCTGTTTCTCACCAACACTTTTTTCCTCCTTAGTATTTTCTCTTCTGTTCACCTTCACCCCTCCCCAGCTCTCCTCTGCCCATCTGCATTGCATTATCGGTGTTTTATCATTATGGTTGGTGAGGCAAAATGTTGCGAGGCTCTTTCCTTTCCACTCGCCTCTCACATCAGCGCAGGCAGTGACCTTATGCTATTTGAGAGCGAAGCTGGTTAGTGCTGGCAGTTTTGAGAACATAATAAAGCTATTTATGCAGCAAGTCTGGCCTCTCACAATCAGCCTGCTGTCTGACTAGTTGAGGTGTGTATGTGTGTGTGCACATCAGTGTGTTTGTGTGTAGAGGAGAGGAGAGAGGAGACGGAGAGGCTCAGGCTAAGTAAGTGAGGGAGGCCCGTGGAGGGGTCAGCCTTACATAAACTCTCCGCCTGCCAGTAACTGTACTAACACCGCTTAGAGCAGCGAACAGGGAGGGAGGAGACATAATCGTGACCCAGCTAAGTAGTTTACACTGTAATAGCCTGGAATGAGAACAGTACTAATGCCTAATACTGCTCTGCTGTCGTGCTCGGCGATAATTTTTGTCCTGCGGGCACCACCCAAACAAGGGTTTCCTCCAGAGTCCCATTTTTTTGATCTGTGCGTCACATTGTGGTTGGCATCTCTCCTTTTCCTGTCATTGTCCAAGGTCACATGAGAGTCATGATGGCTTTCACACATACCGCTAGAGCGAGTCACTGCACTGGGATTAGGGTCCTGAAGGTCCACACGGGGTCATGCATGTGAGATCTAACTTAACCCAACTGAAAATCCTGTTATTCTAGTAAAAACCTTAAATACTTACAAGCTATTGAATGACCACTTTGGCGGTTTGGAGTTTTCCTGAATGATGTTTTAAAGTTCCTGGAAGCTTGCGGTACTTAGTTGGGGATGTAAAACACCTCTGAGATTGGTGATCCATCACACCGATCACATTGCCCGGTTTATTTATGTATCAGCGTGAACACGCTGAGGTGGCTGTTGCTGCTGTGTGGTTTTACAGCAATCAGTGTCTGATTTGAAAACCGTTTAGTGGAAAAGTTAAATCAGAGGTTCGTTGACATTCGAGATTTTAGGCTGCCAGAAAGCTTTCCACTAATAATGTGCAGATTGCCCACAAAAGAAAATAATATTAGCCCGTAGAAGAAAACGTTTGAATTTGATGCATTCTTTTACTTAAATACCTGCTAAAGATCAGCTGAAATGTAAATTAAAGCTACAGTGGCAAATTTGGAAAACAAATGAGCTTAAACAGTTTTTTCATGCCTCTTAACAACATTCTAACATCTCAAAGCTATAAATACATTGTGGAGATAAAAAAAAACGAACAAAATTAATGAAGTGGTTCTCTCCTTTGTCAAAAATACTTCACCAATAGATGCTTTTGGACGAAAGCCGCGCATCCGTACTTCTCTGGGTCTTTCAATCATCACACACTCGGGTATTTTGCAACAGAACATCACTGGTGTGAGAGGTTCTCGGCTCAATAATGTCAGAGAAGGAGAAACAGCCGGCTGCTACCACTTCAACTTTAGTCCCAAAAAGAAAAAACGCCACTTGAAGGCACGGACAACAAGAGACGTTTGGACCTAGAGAGCGGCGACTGGTGTTTAGTGCTATCTCGTTTCCTCTGGCATCGCGGGTTTATGGTTCTGGCAGAAGCATCTCAGGGAAGAAACCCGCGGTGAGTGTTCTGTGACCGTTGTTTGCGTTCAAAACCTAGCTTGTTCTGTAGATTCGCTAAAGCAGCTTTAAGTTCTGAGTGGTAAGAAATTCCTTAAGAAAGTGAATCAGTGTTGTACAGATGGGAACCAGTTAAGAAATTCACTCAGCTTACCTAGAACACAAATATTGACACATTTAGAAAATGTTCATTCTGAAACATTAGTAACAATAACAAATTCTTAAAATATATTTTTATATTCTTGTAGTTTTTGCTACATTATCAGGTTCATATTGGCTTTTGATTTGGTCATGTGTCAAATCTGAGTTCTTAATACATCATCTCCAGTTCATCAGTTCTTATTACTGCCGGCTGTATCCATCACATCCATGTTTCTGACATAACGAAGTTTGCTAAGGTGGAAATTGAAAATTGCTGAATAACCTCAGTTTGAAGAAATAGCTTACTTCTGTCAGGACTGATGAGCTAGCAGCTAGTCAGAGAGCAGGCAACACCAAAGTGTGTTGTTGCTCAAACCCCAAAAAATTCACAATGCAATGTGAATTTTTACAAAGTAAGTGCTGCTGGACTCCTAGATGCACCGGAAGTGTTCGGTTTTTCTGCTTCTGGAGATATTTACACTTTTAAATAACCATCGATTTCCATGCAAATGACTGTAATGCAAAGCAGGCAGCTGTGTAACACGTATGAAATTAATATGCATTAATCATTATGGAATTTCAGATTAAAGCATCAGTGCTGTTAAAGGAAGTACACACTGTTTCTCCAAAATAAAGGCTTTCAGGAAGTAAGTAACAACAAGTGACTTTGTGATTTATTGTATAATTTACACAGAAACATGTTTCACAATGGCTGAGAAAGAGTTTAAAGAGAGTTATTTTTAATTCTGGGGAACATGTTTTTACTGAGCCATAAAAATCGCATGACTTTGGTGTTTATTTGATGCCTGCCATGAGCATCAGAGAAAACAAAGTCTTTCAGGAACAAAAAACCTCTCATGTTTTATTGTTAGTCAGATGATCTTTTCATTATGAGCTTTAAATTAGTTTATAAGCAAATTGCTTTCTGTCCACATGAGAGCAATGGCGATTATTAATTAATCATTAGTCTTGTCTTTGTTCAGTAGCGGTCTCTTTTATTTATCCTTCATTCGTGAAGACTTAATAAACTCCAGACTGCTTCGGGTCAAAAGCTCATTAGCTGTCCTGTGTGATGAGATTCTTCCACAATTTAAACAAACCGTTATTTTCCTCTTTCACCATGTTTCAAAAGGCCACGTCTTTGATTTTTGGAATTGTGTTTTGGCATTTGAGACGGTCTTGGAAAGCCCTGCTTCATAAAAAAAATGTTTTATTTATGCTGCATAATAACTTAGAATAAACTCAGGCTAGATTATTTTAGCATGTGTTAAATACTTATGTAAAAATACTAAATATTCATTTATCACTGTTGCCATTTAAGGATCAAATAAATAGCAGTTTGGAAGTATACACATTCAAAACTGCTGTTTGAACAAACATCAACAATTCACACAACTGTAACAATTTCAGCACACTGCAGGGACTCAGGTTTTCATGATCATAATACCAATAAACACTGTTTGCATTCAGCTTTACACCAACTAGACTGTTGAAACCGCTGTGGATTATGATTATTCAGTCACACTCCAACCATGTGCAGCAAGGCCTTTTGGGTATTATGATGTGAATCAGCTGTTTGCATGGTAGCTCTGACCGGCACTGCTGTGCAATCCGCGGAAACACATTCAGGTAAGGCAAAAATACCAACAGTGACCATGTCAGGTTTCACTGCTCTCACAGAGGTCTTTATGGTAAGCTTTTACCTGCCTCTTGTCTGCAGATAGCAGTCCAGTCAGGGTTCACTCCAGTGTAAACGGTGTCAGACTAAAGCTCAGCATGTGAGACAGCATTCCTCACTTCCAGCTCAGTCATGCCTCGTATCATATTGAGTGTTGGGATTCCCTGGAGCTGCAGTAAGACGTGTAGTCTAGTATTTGTTTTGGTTGCTTTCTGTTTATAGTCTTGTGTGTAAGTTGGCCTCTGTAAGTGCGCACATGTGTGTGATGATGTGCTGAATACATGTGCAACAAAACAGGATAACTCTTGATCTTCCCAGAAACGGCGATGCAGTCTTTTCTCTAAGTATGGGTGTAGAGGTTTGGCTTTGCCCCGTGACAGCAACGTTGTCATTTGGATGTGGATTTATGTGCATGACGGGTTTTAAATGCATGTGTGTAGCAATGCTGCTGCATGAGTGTGTAAAACAGTCCAGACGCCGGTTTTTCCAGACCAGCTCGTAAACCACATCTGGTGAAAGAATTTAGATTCCTTCCCTCCGTCTTTGCTGGTTTTCATCTCTCCCCACTGTGATTCCTTCCCTCCTTCATTTACTGGTAAGATGGGGGGAAAAAAGACAGAAGTCAGTTTTGTTTTTTAAGTTGTCTTAAGGTTGGCTTTAGAGCAGGAAGGAAGGAATGTCTTCTTTTGCGTCTATCACTAGAGTGTCTGCTTGGCTCAGCTTCAGATCTGCTGTTGGGATGAAGTTTGGAAGAAAAGGAAAGAAAAGGAAAGTGGTGGTGGGTGTCAGAAAATCTGTCGGTCTATGTGAGGTACAAAATGCAAATGTGAGTCTGGCAGCATGCCTCTGCAGCCTTGTGATGATCCCATGTTTGTCTTCACGTTTAAAAGGCAGCCAGTGATGTTGTTGACAGCGGACAAGCCTGTGCTGAGAGGTGGTAATGGAACAGAAGCTGTGGAGATGAGAGGACATGTTGCCCTTTTTCTTCTTTTAATCACGTCATTCACCTTCTCTTTTTACAGACTGTCCCTGGCTTCGCTCAGTTCCTGTGGGACAACCAACACAACCTCAGTAGCTGATTGACAACCTCAACCAGTCCACCAGACTCCTGCTCGCTATCTTTTTATTGGCTGGCTGCCAGAGCTTCCCCCATCCTGATTGGCTGTGGCGGGAGTGTGGATGGAGCCAAGGGATCTGGTTGGCCCAGCCCGACCCAAAGAGGCGGACCTTCAGGGTGGTAGGGTGGGGCCAATCAAGGAGCACCAACGAGCGGCGGGGGGCATCGGGTTGGTACACAGTGACGATGTGATTAACGGTGCTGTCAGTGAAGGGGAGGGATTAGAGGAGCAGGGGGAGGGCCTTATGGAGGAGCAGGAGTTCTCCATCAAGGAAGCAAGTTTCCAAGAAGGAAGTCTAAAGTTGAAGATACAGACCACCAAGCGCACCAAGAAGCCCCCCAAGAGCCTTGAGAACTATATTTGCCCTCCAGAGATCAGGATGACCATTAGACCTCCAGCCGGAGAGGGCAAAGGAGGGCGACAAGGGCGAGCAGGAGGCGGGGCAGGAGCAGGGCGGGGTTCCAAGGATGAAGAACGAGGTCCCCCCAGAAAAAGGGTAAGTTGTCATTCCTGCTACTTTTATGCCTTTAGAATTCAGCTCTAAAATGTCGAGTACAAATGAGAAGAAGTCTGAGTAAAAAAACTTTTGTCTATCTCAACATCTGTATCTATTCTCAATCGTCCCCCAAGCTCGGTTTACAAAGAGTCCAAGTTTGTTCTGTAATTGAAACCACTCTGACTGAGATCACACAGCGGCACACACACACACACACGCACGCACGCACGCACACACACACACACACACACACACATACACACACACACACACACAGCAGCTGAGAATAGGGCTGACACAAGCAAGTGACAGCTGGTGTCTGCCCTCTCCATTTGTGGTCATACACACAGAGACCTCTCCTGTCCCCTCTCTTCAATGCGTCTTTCCTCCCGTCTCCTTTTCCCTCCTTTAATGAAATCAGCCATCGTGGTTCACAGCCTTCACCGCCCCTCCTCCATCACCCTTCCCGCTCCAACCTGGTTTTTGGTGTGTGTGACACCGTGTATGTACAGGTCCTTGGGGGAATCTAGTGTTTGCGGGGCATGTTGACCTACACAGTGGTGTGTGTGTCCAAACCTGGCCGTCATCTCAGTGGCACTGAGCTCGACAGGCCAAGCAGGACTGAAGGTGTCACTTTGTCAACAAGGGGCAGAGTTGTGTTGTCCTTGATTGTTCATCAGTATTGTGGCTTTTTGACAAATTATGATTTAAATTGGGATTTTGCTCGAATCTGTCACACACCTAATTCTGTCAGATTGAGTCAGTGTCCACGAGGAAGCTGACAATATTTCTGTGCATGTGAGACAATGCGTGCAAAAACATTTGTTTATGTCTCTTCATGTTTTTACAGACAGCTTTTGAAGGGAAATGTATTAGCATTCAGCCAATTAAGAGCCCACATGCCAGTCATGCTGTCAGTTCAGATCTCAGAAGACAGAATAAACATATCTCATCTTTTTTACTTATTAATTAAGGGATCCTTTTAGTTCTCTAGAATAAATGTAAGTGTTTTTGATTGATAACTAAGGTTTCTGGAATATTTACTTGGAAATAAAAATTAAAAAGGTGATATTTGCTTAGCCATACATCAAAATTGTTACGTTTCATTCACAAAGTGAACTGGCTGACCTGCTTTTTTTGTTCTGGAATAAAAGTCTGAAAAAGAAATGTTTACCATCGAAGAATGTCCATGTTTATACCCACGTGTAACCCTCAGTGGACCGCAGCTCTCTGATGTCTGGGCAGCCATTCATAATCTAGCGCCATCAGCCACTAATTAGTAAGCCCCCCACTTGGACGATGATTGACAGGGGTTGTCATGGCGACGGGAGGGAAAGCTGATGGTGTCTGCTGAGGTTTGATGAGGGGAGGGAGTGAGGAAAGAGAAACAGAGAATGTGTTGATGTTGTTTCAGATCAGTTTCAGACCTTCATCCCCTCTGTTCTATGCCTCAATTACCCCCACCCCCCAACCTCCCTCATCACCCCCCTCACATCCTTTCCCTCCATCCAGCCATCACCTGCCACCCCAAGGGTGCAACGCCAGCAGGCTCACTGGAGAGGAACGGGTTAAAGAGAGAGGCCGGACTGCCTTGGCTTCTGTGTGTGTGTGTGTGTGTGTGTGTGTGTGTGTGTGTGTGTGTGTGTGTGTGTGTGTGTGTGTGTGTGTGTGTGTGTGTGTGTGTGTGTGTGTGTGTGTGTGTGTGAGTGAGTGTGTGTGTTGGGGTTAAATACTCTCTTTGTGGTGTGTGTGATGCTGTGTGTCCGAAGGGGAGGGGAGGTGAAGGTGGGGAGCAGATGGGCAGCCTCTCCTCTCTCTGCTGTATTGTGTCCATCTACTCTTTCCCGCTCTTTATCTCTTTATCTATCTCTCTTTCCACACTTGTCCCTGCCATCTTTTCTTCCACTCAAGTCTTCCTCTTTTCACGCACTCTTTTAGCCTCTCTTGTCTCATAGCAGATGGCAACATGGGGTAGCGGTGGCAGCAGCAACAGAGCAGAAGCCAGAGCGG